TATAGATAAAATATTGCACTAATCAGCACGAACATATGTTTATTAAAATCAGCCAAATTTAGGTATACCTAAATCAATTGATCCCAAAATGGCAAGCTGATTCTATTCCTGGTTTATCTTCATTTGGAAGATTTGTCTAAATACCACATGCATAATTTAAGCTATGGGGCATTTATACAACATATAAATACTTACTGCATTGATTGGTCTTGCATATGAATTGTCTTCATCCAATGCATTCATCCATGCATTTGAAGAGCGTTGTGATATTGCTTAGTATGGTCAATCACAAGTAATATAAATAATACACAACACTTGACAAGCAAAAAATTAACCTTATTTCAGTTCTTCAATATTTGATTGCTTGCCATTCACCCAGTCTTGCACCAGCCGCTCGTCACTGCACAAAGCGTGATCCAACGCGATCGAAAAATGGCGATCGCTTCCGGTGGACGGTAGAACGTGGTACCGCGGGCGTGGTCTTGATGAAAGCCATTACACTGATTAAACCACAACCCCTTCTTCTTAAACCCGATGCTAGTTCGTGCAAAACCTTCAAAGGGTTTATCTTTCGCGCGCTTGGTGTGACGTAATATCACGTGACTAGGGAGAACGAAGAAGAACCGGTGTTGGTCGAGTTGAAGCGCCCCTGGGGCCACTAATATTGCACGCGAAGAAGCAGCACGTGTCTTCGGTCTATGTGAAACACTGTGTGTGTTCTTCATGAACCAGACGTTCTGCTTCGCCTCTAAGCCAGTTTACCCTAATACCCAAAAAACCTAAGTGTGGAATATTTTAAGATGCTTTTGCATAACGTTCTTTCAACTTGTTTTCAGTGTGATTTCGAATTTACCATCCATTTGAACGTTTACGAAGTAGTTTTAGTGCTTTCGTGACATGCTACGACGCCGTCAGTGGTAGTTGACACCTACTATGGATAGCCGGTAGGACGCCTAATGGTTGACCTGACCTGACCTGACCCGATCTGGCCTAAATGCATGAAGAAATCATCTGTGATCAAAACAAACATCAGATATTTGTGATCAGCACCCCGAAAAACCCGATAACAGCTTCACTTTACGCAGTTCTAGCAGGTCCCCATTTTCCCGACTTTTGGAATATTGACCTGACCTGGAAGGTCAACCAATGAAGTAGGACCTTAAAATTGGGTATCATCGGCTTCCTCTCGTCACGGGCAACACCCTCGTTTTTTCCGCGAAGCTCTAGCTCGATCAGGGGCCGAACGGCAGGGGGTCCGACCGACCCCCTCCCCCTACACATTAGAAGCTGGAAAACGCTGCACACATTCGAGGGCTTATATTGTCAATACTGACTACCGCAAAAAGTAAAAGCGGCCAACTTAGCCATTTTCGAAGATATCGGGCTAAAATTTTTGACAGTGGGTCATCGGTTCGGTATGTGTTCAATCACATGCTCCATTTCCTTTTTTCAGCACAAATGTAAGTTTTGAAGACCATCACTGATCACAGTAGCAAATGCTTCGAAAGATGGATAGTAGGCAACATATCCTGAATTTGCCGTGCTGCATGGGATGTAGTGTTGATGAAAAAGGGGTTTTTGGTTCAGATTATTGTGGGTGCAGAATACATTGTCTGCACCCACTGGATAAATATTGTGGGTGCAGCTGCACCCTTGCACCCATGGTTCCTACGCTTATGAACCGGTACCAAACCAAATCGATACCAACTTGGTATTTGGTATTTTCATCTTAACATTTTTGGTATTTTGTTGGTATTATGAAACCTCACTAATTAATAAGAGGTTGAGAAATTGGTAAAAAGTCGGTATTTCCTTGTGCCCAAGTCGGTTCGGTTTCGGTATTCCCTCACGGTTTTGGTTGGTATTTGGTTTGGTATCGGTATTCCGATTTTCCGTAATTGATACCACTAACACGAACACCCTCAAAAGTAAAGGGGGAGTTTGTGCCATCATTGAGCTGGGCTCGGGATACCCGAGCTCTTATTCCACGCCGGCTTGGCTTTGGAGCCGCCACAGACGGCAGAGGTCAAGGTCACCGCTATATAGGTCAGCTGTGGATTTGCTGCGCCCAGGCACCCCCACTTAACCCTATTCCTGGCGGGGGGGCCTCAGGCCCCCCCCCCCCCCTGAGGTTTTTTGGTTATTTCTCCCAAACGCGTTGAGCTAGGAAGCTCAAATTTTCTGACTTTTCCTAAAAGGCTTCTACGCAACATGTCTGTAAATTTTGAGTTGATCTGACCTCAGGTCAGGTCACCAGAGGCGGTTTGGTGACCCTACCTCAGAAAAGTTTGCAATCACGCCAGAGCTAGAGTTTTTGACCGATCAGTTTCTTCTCTTCAGGCTTTAGTTAGGGTACCAGTATGTGCAATTTGTATATCTCGGAATTTTGATATCGGTGACCTAAGGTCAGGTCAGTTTCGCGACCTCCCCATTATAAGTCAATGGGGGGGAAAATCAACTCCCTGTTTTTACCACTAAAACGGGTCGGAATGGCCCCATATACCATACATGACTTCATATACGATCAACCTTCACTACCTTGAGGTCTGTTTTGCTGTTGGGCAGCTGTGAGGTCATGTGACGTCATCAAAGGTCACCAAAGGTTTTTGGCCAATAACTCCGTACAGGAACAAGATACAGACGCGTGGATGGTCTCATTGTGTTCAGCTCGGCAAGACGCATCGAATGATATACATGATGACCTCGAGTTCACGTCACCTGAGGTCAACCTTTGACCTTGACCTTTCGAAGTCAACATATATATCATTCGACGCGGATTGACGAGAGGATCACGATGATGCCCTTAGTTTGTTCCTATCTTGACTAATTCGAAAGTTATTCGAGAAAAACTCTCTCCATATCTAGCGCCGCCATTTTGACTTTTTCGACCCCTGTGACGTCATCTTTGACCTGACCTGAAAATGACCTTAGTAAAAATTGTAGATCTTTACCGTGCGTATCCGATGCCGTTTACCGTTTGTCGCTGCGATGTGTAATTTTTGAGATCTGAAGGGCGGCCGAATCGGCCCCCCCCCCGCCAGTTTCTTGTCCCGGCGGAGCCCGCCAGGAATAGGGTTAAGCAAAAGCTTTCATAAATGATCAAAACACGTTTGCGAGTGCCATTTCTGTAAAATTTGTGTATTCAACACCTCGTCCTAAGCCTCGCATACACTGACAAGAGGTTTAAACACGGTCTATTGTAGAACCTTAGGTACTGAGCTAATCTACTTCCCAATCATGTATTTCAATCGCCATCAGCCTGTGCACCATGAGCGACACCGAACCGGACATATCTGGTCCAAACCAACCACAGCCGACCGGACCACCGACGGTCCGACACAGTGACGGGCGAGGTCCGATATCGCCCGGACCGGCCACCCTCACAGCTAGCTCCAACGACTGGTCTAAACTGAAACTACAACACAGCAGCACAGCGGTGTGAGCCAGCGTGACGTCACGACAACACAGGTGACGTCACCACGGCGGTACCTCCGGCACGGTGACAACGGTTTACCGACGGCTGGACAGTGGCCCCGGAGCGTGATACATCTTGGATACTGAACATACCTACTGTCTATCAAAGCAGTGTCAACAAACGTAGCAATCTGTGCTCAAATGATCAAGCATTTAGGTGGCCACTTAACCCAAACCAGCCTGGCACGGTGTTAACCCGCGCACCGACGGGGGTCTGCGCCAACTTAGTACCGACGGGGGGGGGCGGATGACCGCCCCCCCCTGAGATCTCGAGAACGAAGCAAGATAGCGACAAGCGGTAAACGGCATCGGATACGCACGGACAAGGTCTACAATTTTTACTAAGGTCATTTTCAGGTCAGGTCAAAGATGACGTCACAGGGGTCGAAAAAGTCAAAATGGCGGCGCTAGATATGGAGAGGGTTTTTCTCGAATAACTTTCGAAGTAGTCAAGATAGGAACAAACTAAGGGCATCATCGTGATCCTCTCGTCAGTCCGCATCGAATGATATATATGTTGACCTCGAAAGGTCAAGGTCAAAGGTTGACCTCAGGTCACGTGACCTCGAGGTCATCATGTATATCATTCGATGCGTCTTGACGAGCTGAACACAATGAGACCATCCGCGCGGCTGTATCTTGTTCCTGTAAGGAGTTATTGGCAAAAAACCTTTGGTGACCTTTGATGACGTCACATGACCTTACAGCTGCCCAACAGCAAAACAGACCTCAAGGTAGTGAAGGTTGATCGTATGTGAAGTCATGTATGGTATATGGGGCCATTCCGACCCGTTTTAGTGGTAAAAACAGGGAGTTGATTTTTCCCCCATTGACTTATAATGGGGAGGTCGCGAAATTGACCTGACCTTAGGTCACCGACATCAAAATTCCGAGATATACAAATTGTAGCTACTAATGACCTAATAACATCCTGCGACTTTCAAAGGCCTCCGACATCTACTGTAGCTCTGGCACGGTGACAAAGTTGCAAAAAAGTGACTTGAGGTTGGGTCATTCAAAGTGACCTGGTGACCTGACCTTAAAAGTTAGGAGGTTCAAACTTGCACACCATGTGTAAAATTGATGAGAGAATAGTCATACCAAATTTCGCGGCGCTACGCGCCGCGGTTTTCCCGCTATCCGCGAAAAACCTCAGGGGGGGGCGGATATCCGCCCCCCCCCGTCGGTGCGCGGGTTAAAGTACCCACGGACCTGAGCCGATGGGACAGTTGTTTTTGTTTGTTGGGTTAGGCCCTTTCGGTCGACAAGACCATTGCAGAGCCGGAAGGATGATAGGATTTAGGGGGAGACATTGGTCTGGGCAGGCACCCTAGTGAGTCGCCGGGGCTGAGCCCGTCCAGAGGACAGGCCACCCAGCCCCAAGGCACTCACTGCACCCGGCTACGGGGTGCGCTCCCTCGGGAGCAGCGGTGCCGCTCCAAGGGAGCAGCCCGCATGAGATAAAGTTGCCTGTCCAGCCCGGAGGGTGGTTGTGGCGTGGAGGAGAAGGATTTCAGTATCCTGAGGATAGAAGCACGGATGGGTGATGGGACAGGGCGACTCAAAGCACTTCTGGATATGAAGGTCTAGACGTGCATTGTGTACAGAACAGCGCTGCCGACGGGACACGGTGCTGCCATCTGTTGTCGAGTTCCGACACCGCTGACGGCACATGAGCGGACGAGGCACCGGGAAGCTAGTCGTCTAGCCAAAGTACTTCAAACAAATTTTGCTGCGTTTGGGAGGCTTGGTAAGCTTGTCGTATAGAGACTCTGGAAACGGAACACGTCAGATTACACACTGATTGCTAGTGATGTTACATGGGGCAACTCAAATTGATGACGTCACCTACAGATACATAACTACGAACATAATGACAATGTGTGTATCACTAACCCGGTTTACATAGGGTTTGTTGCAAGCTTATATCTCCGTCCGTGATGTTGCAAAAGATGCCAATGGTGCTTAACAATTTACAAAATGATCCCCTCTAAATATTTGTAGACCACTGCATCGAAATTATCGCCAAATTAACGAGCTAGAGCCTCGTCAAATATGCTATGTAAACCGGGTTACTGAGTAATGACGTCATGAGGGCTGATACTGATACTGTGACGTCACTTACGGAGATACACGTCACCAAGCGTGACGTCAGTACTGGTGACGTCACGTGCGTCAGTGCGTGTCCGAGAGGCCGGTGGCGCCGTGTCGGCTGGTGTGGGTGGTCAGAGACGCCGTCACTTACTGGGGACCAAGAGATCGATGGTACGGGACTGGCCACTGTCACGTCCCAGGTCTGTCTCGTGCAGGGCGGTCAGGACAGCCTGGCAGTTTTCGAGTGAGGAGGTTAGGAACAGTGTCTTCAGTTTCCTGCATGTCACTGCCATCCTGCAACAGATCACAACAAAACAGAACGGGTCAGTATACGGGACACAGTCACACAGTGGCACCAGCGGTCGACTCGACACGGAAACACCATGTAGTTCCAATGCCTTTCATAACAGAACATATGTGCCTCCGGCTATCTCCAGTTTCCAGTCTTGCCCTGCAATTTGCTACGCACGTTTCACACAATACTCTTAGAGCCTTATACCACCCAATATTATGTCCATATGCATAGTAATACCAGTCCAGTCCAGTCGTCTGTCTGTCTGTTTGCATGGCATCAACACAACTGTCAGGGCTGTGTGGAGCGCGTGTTGTCGCCCCGTGTTGTCGTGCTGCGCTGTGGTTGGCTGTCCCCGCCGCCCGGGTCACGTGACGTGGCGACCGGCCGGTCGGGCCGTGCGGCGGGGCCGGGGGTGAGTGACAATACAGACGCGCCAGCGACCGGGTGTTTGCTGCTGCGTGCGTGGCCACGTGACATGGTGGCAGCGGTTCAGTGATCGCCATGCCTGAGGACGCGAAGAGTGCGACGCTTAGTGGCACTGCCACTGTTCCAGTGATCAGAGTGTCATTGTCGGATTTTCCGGTCTACGACGGTAGCTCGGCACCCGACCGTTTCATCCAGCAGTGCGAGCGGCTGGCGGCCCTCGGGGGCATCGCTGATGGGCAGCTTCAGACCGTCATCGCGGCGCGATGTCGCGGTCTGGCCCTGGAGATCGTCGAAGCTGACGGCGAAGTGGTGGACGTCACAGGCCGACTGCGTGCCGCCTTTGGCGCCGGGACATCCGAGTTGGCTGTGTCGCGTCTTGGCTCAGCGGTCAAGGGCGACGCACCGGTCCTGGAGTACGCCACGCGTATCAAGGAGCTGGTGCGTGATGCGTGCCCCGAGTTTTATGACGCCTCGGGCAAGGTCAAGACCATCTGTGTACCGGCCCACAAGGCCGCTCTCTACCGGCATCTTCTGATCGGGCTTTCGCCGCAGGAGAAACTTTTGCTGTCCCGTCAGAACGTGTCCACGTTCGACGCCGCCGTGGACGTGCTGCGTCGTGAGGAGACGCTGGCGGAGGCTTTCGGCGAGGAGGAGCGCCGCGCGAGCGCTTGGGTTCAGTGGGCGGATCGCGAAGTGATGGGGGTCGGGCGCGGAGACATGATGTCTCCGACTCCGAGCGGTGATCGGAATCAGGAGGATTCCTCGCGCCGTGAACGTGACCGTCCGTCCGTGGAGCGGGCGCGCCGGAGCCCGAGTCCGGCTCGCGGCTCCTGGGGGCGGTCCCGCGCCGTCGCCGCTGGCGGGCGCTCGGGCGGCTCGCCGTATGCGCCCTCTCGTGGCGGCCCTCGGGGCTCGCCTCGCCGTGATGACTCGCCGTGGCCGACTCGTCGTGGTGACCCGCGGCGCGCGCCTCGCCGTGGCGACTCACCGTGGGCTGCTCGCCGTGGCGACTCGCGACCGGCGCCTCGCCGGGATGACGCGTCGCCTGACAGTGAAGAGGAGTGGCGGCCGGGGCGCCCCGGCGGGAGACGCGGCTCGCCGGCGCCGCCGGACCGCACACGGAGGGAGGTGCGCTGCTGGTCGTGCCGTGGCTATGGGCATCTGAAGCGGCAGTGCCCAAACGGCTACTAGGGCAGCGTGGACGTCGGGTGATGACTCTTCCGACTACTCGGGTAAATGTGAACGGCTTCCTGGTAAGTGACGCACTTTTGGACAGTGGGAGCCAGTTGTCCTTACTCGATAGTCGTGTCTTTAGTGTCATCGCCCCGAACGCTGAACTGACGGCACCTGCCCGGCTGTTATCGGCTACCGGTCATCACTTGAACGCGGTAGGGAAATGTGTTTTGCCAGTGCTAATCGCAGATGGTCGAACTAAGGACACGGAGTTCACAGTGGTACATAATTTGTCTCACGACATTGTGCTGGGGTGGGACTTTATGTCGGAGAATGGAGTTGTTTTGAATTGTTCGCCAGATGCGAGCCAGATTAAAGTCAGGACAAAGAAGCCCATTTCAGTTCCCGCGCGATCGGCAGTTTGTCTAAATGTGAAAGTTGATCGGCCCGTGTGTGTTGCGGGGGAATATTTGTTTGTCGGGCAAAGTTCGAATGATGTCGAAATATGTGACTCGTTACTTACGCCATTTTCCGAGACGGAGATACCACTTTATGTTCGCAATCGTTCCGACCGCGTTATCACGATTCACCGCCGCAGCGTCATTGGTTATTTGGAGAGCGTCGAGCCCGTGGAGGCCGAGCCTGCCGAGCGCGTCGGGGAGGCTCAGGTGAATGCTGTGTCGGCGGACGACAGTCGCTTTGTCGGGAAGTCCACGGCCGACATTCTCTCAGAGTTTGTTGTCGGAGAACCGCTCTCGGCTACTCAGCGTGATCGGCTGGCCGATCTCCTCAGGTCGTATCCCGAGATATTTTCGCGAAGCTACGCGGATATCGGGACATATAACGGCGGAGACGTTGATTTAGAGCTGTTGCCAGGAGTCCGCCCTCAGTTCGTTAGGCCATACCCTGTCCCGTGGGCCCGAGAGGACCAGCTCAAGGCCCAGCTGGACGAGCTGCAGTCTTGTGGTGTTATTGAGGAGGGAGAGCCGTCCGACTGGAACAGTCCCATTATTCTGGTGCCCAAGGGAAAGGACAAGCGTGAATTTAGAATAGTGCAGGATATGCGGTCCTTGAATAAATGTTTGATGCCCAAAACGTTTGTGTTCCCGAATATAGATGATTTTATTTTTTCATTAGGCGACTGGAAAATCGCGTCCTCGTTAGATATTAAGTCTGCGTTTTGGAATTTGTGTTTGACGGAAGAGTCCAGTAAAATATGCGCATTCTATGCTTTAGGCAAGACATATTATCCCCGTCGCATGCCAATGGGGTGCATGCAGAGTTCGTATTTTTTGCACCTAGTTATGCGCCGAGTACTGGGAGACTTGCCTGGCGTTCACATTTATTGTGATGATATTTTGTGTACTAGTTCCTCGATAGAAGATCATTTCCGTTTACTGCATAGCGTCTTCGAGAGGCTTAGATCAGCCGGTCTCAAAATCGCTCCGGAGAAGTGCAAGCTTTTCCAAACGTCCCTGACATATTTGGGACACCTCATCACGCCGGACGGCATATCCATTGATCCCAGCCGTCTCAAGGTGATTGACGAGATGCCCCGTCCGTCTTCTATTAAGCAGGCCAAGCGTGTCCTCGGTTTCTTTGGTTGGTTTCGGAAGTTTTTCAAGTCTTTCTCGACTGTGGCAGAGCCTTTAGTTGTGTTGAGTAATGCCGATAAGTTCTATTGGAATAGTGAGCTGGAGCAGTGTTTCCTGCAGCTGAAATCTGAGCTCACTGCTCACGTGGTTCTCAGTTACCCGCGGAAGGATTGTCCGTTTATTCTATATACGGATAGTTCATCGTCGGGATCGGGACAGGTTCTCTCCCAGATCTGGCCCGATGGCCAGGAGCGGATCGTTGCTTTCAGTGGCAACCGATACAGTCGCGCCCAGCGCAAATGGACTATTTTCGAATTAGAGCTTTTCAGTTTTATCCAAGGTCTCAAGAAATGGTTCAAGTATTTGGCTGATAATGAGTTCCGATGGATTTGCGATTGTAAGAGTGCTTTGCAAATTCTGAAAAATAAGGAGTGGATCAATCCCCGCTTGGTCCGCTGGCGAGCGTTCGTCAGCCAGTTTCGTTTTACAACGGAACACAGAGGTGCCTCGCAGATGCGTCATGTTGATGCACTCTCTCGCCTTCATGAGGACGCTCCGGCCTCTGAGGATGACGCCGAGTCCGATGGCGTGGCGCCGGCGGCTCGGGCGCTGCGGCCGGAGCCGGTGTCGGGGCCGGAGCCGGTGCGTGTCTCGCGAGGCGGCCGTGGCGCCGCCCGTGGTGCGGCGGGGGGCCGGGCGCGCCGGGCGCTGGGTGACAATAACCTCGATGCTGAGCCCCCGATTGTGCCCAGCGAGGCGCGGAGGCAAACAAATGCGACGAGTGCTGAACTCGAAGGATCGCCTTGTGCGTTGGATGGTGTGCTCAAGGAGCAGCCGGTGGAACCGGAAGCGGCTCGGGAGGTCTTAATGACTACTGCTGACTTTTTAGTCCAGCAGGCTCTCAAGCCGGAATCAGTAATCTGGTACCAGAAACACGACCGCAATTGTCGAGCTATTGCGCACCGACTGAAGCACAACAAGTGGCCCAGGTACGCGCCGCCCGTTCTGCGGCGGTTATCAGCAGACCAGTTCACTTTTCGTAACGGGATGTTATTCCGCGGTGATCAGATTGTCTGGCCTCTGTCTAAACGATTCGAGATGCTCTACAATCATCACGACGTATCGCAGCACGCCCATGGAGGCGCCGGGAAGCTGTACGAGCTACTTAGCCGGCACCTCTGGTATCCGGGCCTGCGGTCCGACTGTACCGACTACGTAAAGAGCTGCACGAGGTGTTGCCAACGGAAGGACACGAGAGCCCATCGCTCGCCTCTGCTGCCCCAGCGAGCTTCATACCCCAATGAAGTACTCGTGATCGATATACTTTCCATGCCGAGAGGGAATGTTCACGGATGCTCAATGATTTTAACGTGCGTTGATAAATTTACCGGATATTTGACCTATTATCCACTGCGCTCCGGCGCCGCAGATTACGTTGTGGAGGCGTTGACACAGCATTTTTTGACCTTCGGTCCCCCTGAGCGCATTGAGAGTGACGCGGGTTCGAACTTGCTGAAACACGGTCATGTCAAGGTCTTGTGTCAACATTTCGGTGTGAATATTCGTGTGAGTGTAGGGTATCATCACGAGGCGGTGGGTGCAGTGGAGCGGCGTCATCTGGACATTAAACGCCGCTTGCGTGCTGTCTCTGAGTCGGGCGGCGCTGACTGGGAGACACGCTTGTCTGGAGTGGTCTATTCCTTGAACAATGAGATTTGTGACACTACTGGATACAGCCCGTTTTTTCTGTATTTCCTGCGCCATCCGAATAGTCCGCTGTCACAGCTAGCTAGCGCGCCCAAAAACAAGTATTCGCCAGATTTTGTGCACGAAAAACTGCGTCTGTTATCAGCGACCCTTCGGCAGGCTCAGGACCGTCGTGATGAGATGTCTGGTCGTTACCAGCGCCAATTTGACAAGCGGTATCATGTACGCGATGTTTGTTACCGGGAAGGAGACCGACTTTGGGTGAGAAATGTTACAAGGGCCTCCAAGATGGAGGACCCGTGGGTCGGACCGTTCATAGTGTCATCGATGGTCGGGCGCAGACATGTTGAATATATCACCGACAGGGGCGTCCGTCGAACCCATGTCCAGAATACAAAGCCGTATGAGGTGCGCCGCCCGTAGTTCATGTTCGTTGCCGCGCTGCCGTATGTTAAGGTTTATGTTCACTTGTTCGCTGCCTTGTTTATTGTGTGTATCCGTTGCACATTTTCGTGGAAGGGGGGTAATGTCAGGGCTGTGTGGAGCGCGTGTTGTCGCCCCGTGTTGTCGTGCTGCGCTGTGGTTGGCTGTCCCCGCCGCCCGGGTCACGTGACGTGGCGACCGGCCGGTCGGGCCGTGCGGCGGGGCCGGGGGTGAGTGACAATACAGACGCGCCAGCGACCGGGTGTTTGCTGCTGCGTGCGTGGCCACGTGACAACAACCACCTGAATCAAAAAGTCTGCTTGTGGAGGCCTATTCTTCTGTAAAGAGTTTGTTTCTATTTCCAGTGTCCCCGTGCCCGTATTACTATGTAAACCTCCAAGGGATACCCAGTTTCTGGGGTTATTGCGGTCTATCCAGATAGGTACACATAAATATCCGCCGTCGCCGTCCGGCCGACTGACCTGCTGACCGCTGCCACCTCTGACTGGGTCAGGGCAGGGATGTCCGCGAGGGGCCGGGTGTCTTTGAACTCCAGCGTATCCAGCTGGGAGCAGCCGTGTAGGGCGGACAGCGCAGTGTCGCAAATGACGCCGGATCCGAAAACAGTGACGTCCTTCAAGCTGGTGAGGACAGTCAGGAGGCGTCCCGTCGCTTCCAGTGTCACTGACGGTGAGTCTGTAAAACATAAATAAAGATACTTACGCTAACTGGAATGACAAAAGTCAACAATATTCATAGCGAAATACTGAATAGTAGGATGTCTTTTTTGGTAAGCAGCGAAAGAAAATATTAGTAAACTCGCGCGCTTTTTTGTGCCAAGTAGGATGCAACTGTTAAAAGCAGGCTAACCATTTCCTAACAGCTAAATGTTCTTTTTCTAGCATGAGAGGAAAACGAGAAGAACTTTGAAGCAAACACGAGAAAGGAAAAAAGGTAAAGTAAAAATGGTGGCGTCTCCGACGGCCTTCCTTTTAAGTTTTAAGAGAGAATGCGTTTTGCTTAATTAGGCCCGGTCAAAAATAATGTCACGCGGAGCTTTTGTGCGTGTAATGGCCAACACACCCCTTCACAAGCGATCGTCACGACATTCCGGAACATTATGATCCTGCTGCTCACACCGTATGAACAACCCCGTGACTGTGTGGGTCGCCAGAGCAGTCAGCTGGTCCAGGAGTGTGTCCGTGCCTTTCTGTATACCAACATCCAGCCCAGATGTCGGCCATCGGGGGTGACTCAGCGGCGCTCTAGTCATCCCGGATCCTGTGGAGAGGGTAAAATTAGCCGTAAACCCGCGCCGTGACGGGAGGGGGAGGGTGGGGGTTTTCATAAACTACGCGCATCTATCTTTTATATTTGCAGAAAATTGAGAGGATGTTTATCCTCCATTTCTCTATAGAAACTGCCATTTTGACACTTTCAAACGTAGTTTTATGGGTTCCTATTGAAAACTGAATTGGAAAATGACACAAGTGATCTTAAATTTTACTTATGAAGTCGTATAAGATCGACAGAGGACCAAGGTCATGAGCAGTTTTTCGACGATGGCTTTTGAATTTTGATAGATCGGGCAATAGACATTGGCAGACACTGAAGCTGTGCTAGCTACTTGAACCTTGAATATGCCACGCTCAACAGAACGGAATCACATGCATGTAAGTTGACCGCCTGCTATGAAGCTGATCTCGGGTCAATTCGTGAAACTGATATTTTACTGGTCAAACTATCGTTCATCATTCGACGCGTCTCGACAAAACAAGGATCAGATGCTGGTAAAAGCACTGCCGTTATGTGACAGTGATGCAGTTCATATAATTGATGTTGATGTTGTCAGTGATCATTTGATCATTTGTGAATAGCACCAAATAAGAATCATTGATAATGTGCTAACTGACAAACAATCAAGGCGCAATGGGGTTGGGACCTATCTGCATGCTCTGTATGTTTTGGTAAAATAAAAAAGCTCAGAATTTTTAATGATTTAATTTAAAATCACTTTGTTAAAAAAAATGCCTAGTTAGTTCAGAAATTAATTATTTGTGGCTGAAAACAACTTGCTTCTGATTGGTCGGGCTAATCATGACGTCACATGTAGGTATATAACTGTCTGTATATTTGGCGCAGTTGAGACATACATTTTCTATGTATTTTCCTATGGTAAATCGGAGTGATTGGTCGTGTTTTCAGTGTCTCTTTATTTTGCGCTGGTATTGCGTGGCTAAGGAGTTTTATCAAGAATGGCATATACTAAAATGTTCCTTTAATAATGGAGCTTCAATATCTGTGAGTTTTATTGGCAAGCGAAAACTGATTTCGCTGTTATTTTATCTGGAAATTACTCATTTTTTTTTAGGTCAATATTCAAAATATTTTACGGGAACAAGTTGGCACTTTTCTTGATTTTTGCACTCAAATCGCGTGCGATTCAACTGTATTGGAACTTGCAAAGAAGCTTGGTGATTAATTAACTGTGTTGTTATGGCACTGTTTGCAAAGCATGGATAATGAAACTCTGCCAAAGACTTAGCTACATAGCAATGCCTCAAGTAATACGCAGGAGGGACAGAATTCAGAGTCCGATCGAGAAGAATCGGTGCAAATGCTACGAAGACCAGGCAGCTCTGATACAATAGCTAGTCGTCTCACTACTCTCACTCCATTAGACCAGCTGATTCCCGACAGCACCGACTCGGATGCAAAGATGGAGCTCATCTTCCAAGCCAGAAACCAGTTCTTTGATGGAAGATGTGATGCCGCCTCTGTCTCTGCTTTGTTGGCCACTTTGGACGGGGCGGAGCTCCGCTCCTTGCGTGAGCGGTTATTCGCCTGTCATCCAGAAATAGTTCCTTCGTTTGCTGGCCGTTCCCTGATTAGGTGCAATACGGGGAGCTGTAATCAGGGAAGTAACTTTCCATATGAAAGGGGTGCAGGTGCACCCCCGTCCCCCATCCACTAGAAGTGCACCCCCATAGGCTAAGCGGCGCCCCACACGCCGCCCCACACGATTAGCTCTAGAGCAGATGGCGAGGGTGATTTCCCGGCTACATTCCATCTCGGCGTCGTGATGCTTGTGGGCTTGGAAAGCGTCCAGTCGTATGTAGGGTAGTGTAGGGGTAGGGTTGAGTTCAATAAGGTCCTTACATTTGAAAGGTTTGAACAACCCGCAATCCACTTTGGACAATGCCTCAAGCAATGCCTGCACTTCTAGTGGATGGGGGACGGGGGTGCACCTGCACCCCTTTCATATGGAAAGTTACTTCCCTGATTACAGCTCCCCGTATTGCACCTAATCAGGGAACGGCCAGCAAACGAAGGAACTATTTCTGGATGACAGGCGAATAACCGCTCACGCAAGGAGCGGAGCTCCGCCCCGTCCAAAGTGGCCAACAAGTATGACCATGTAAGCGAAGTGCTGAAAGAGTTGCGGTGGCTCTCGGCCGAGAATATGTGGCGTCTACAGTCTGTCACGCTATTAAAGAAAATCCTCGAGACAGGAGAGCCCGAAGCCCTATCCAACGCGATTGTGTCGCGAGGTAGCGTGCATGGGCGTGATACGCGTCAGGCCGACCTGCTCGATTTACCCGTGATTAGAACGGAATCCGGGCGCCGCCGGTTCCTATACGCCACTGTATCGCAGTATAACGCTCTGCCTCAGGCGCTGCGCAATCTCGGTCACAGGCTCTTTCGGAGGGAGTATCGGAAGCTCCTACTGCGTGAGCAACACGGCGACCCGGCCAGTGTGTAGCGGCGCGGTGGCGCAAATGTGAATATGTGTGCAAATGTGATGCGTGTGTGTTGTATGTAATGTTGTGCCCACCTCATTCGTTTCACCTGACTCGGCAGCCAATAATAGCCATTTTCGGATGGATCGGCTTGCCACGATAAGTACATTACAATACAATACAATACAATCAGCACAACATACCACAAGTTAAATAAAAAAAAACTACCAAACTCCGCCCAACTAATATTAATAAACATTACAGCCAAACTAATGGCCTAAATAAAAATATATCTCAAATCCTAACAGTTATCGCGGGTGATGGCGCTATGAGTTGCTATTATCCAAAACAGATGCAAATAAACATGTTTGTATGTCCTATGTATGTTTGTTTTAAAAACGTTGCAGCGGCGCTGGGAACTGCAGTCTTAGATCTGGGTATGTTTGGCATATGCAACTCTTCATATACACATTAACCCTATTTCGGACGGGGAGGCCTTTCAGGATTTTCTTGTACAATTGCCAAACGCCGCGAGACATTCAGCTCATATTTGGTGACTTTTCCTAAATGCTCATTGCGCACATCTCAGCAAAAAAAAAAATGCCGGGTCAGGTCAGGTCAGGTAACCAGAGCGGGTTTGTTGACCCCACCTCAGAAAAGTTTGCAAACACGTCAGAGCTTGAGTTTTTCACGAAGTTATTTCCTCTCATCAAGTCTTCAAAACAGTACCTGCAGTATGTATCGTTTGTATATCTCAGAATTTTTGATCTGTGACCTGAGGTTAGGTCAGAGTCGTGACCTTTACATTGCAAGCCTATGGAAAAGTATTGAAATGCGACCTGCACCTCGAGTAAACGAGTCAAAACCACCCAATTCATTAAGAATTGTGACAAATTATCTTATCTGTAATGATCCAGGTGCCATTTACTGACAGGGACACCGGGGAGGGTTATCTGAGCCGAGATCATGTGGTGATATCTACCATACATCAATGCTCACAATACTTACAATATTGACAATGCTTTTGCTTACAACACTTACAATACTTACGATGAGACCAGCAAGCACTCTGCCGTTACAGTTCTAACTTCTGTTTCGAAAACCGACGTTACACACATTCGCTGCCAGCATAACATGTATTGTTTGACAGTAACAAAATACAATTGACATCTGAACCCCAAACGGACCGCCATCCACATTCCACTCAAATTGTATAACCCTGACCGGTCAGGGCGCGAATGGAGGTCATCTCCTGGGCATTACACTCAGCCCTTGCACAAAATATTGACAGGGGGCAGGTAGTCTCTCTTATAGCTGCTGACACCTCTAAAGCTTTTGACAGCGTTGAGCATGGCCGGCTCGTGGAGAAGCTGGGGCTGGTATGGTATTGACCCCTGGTGGTTTGCCGACTGGCTCAGTGACCGCAAACAGACGGTCAGGGGCGGCTCGGAGTCCCTCCCGGTTTCCCACGGTGTGGTACAGGGTAGTATTCTTGGACCGATACTTTTTACAGTTTTTACCAACGACCTTCCGTCTCACGTACCGTGCGGCAGACTGATTATGTACGCGGACGACACACAATTCATTAATACCTGTGGACAGACCAGTATCGGAGAACACGCAGCCGACCTAGAGGTCATGCTCGGGGTGGTCCAGGCATGGTACAATCAAAACAGCCTGAGGATAAACCCGTCAAAAACAGAACTGATCATGTTCGGAAAAAATCACGGAGCCGATTTTTCTATCCAGTTTGCCGGTGCAGTAGTTCAGCCATGTGAGAAGGTGAAGGTGCTGGGAGTGGTGCTCGACTCGCGCCTACAGTGGGTGGACCACGTGTCCTTAGTGGTGCGCCGGTGCTACAGCACCTTATCAGGTCTCTCAAAATTCTCCCATCGGCTGCCGAGTTCGGTCAAAAAACTAGTCGTCGAGTCCCTGGTGTTCCCACACATTTTGTACTGCGCTACTGTTTGGGGCGGGTGTAATAAAACCCAAAGACATAGGGTTCAGAAAATTCTAAACCATGCCGCGCAGATCGTGTCGGGATGTTCACGTCGGACGCACGTTACGCCACTTCTAGCCCAACTGGACTGGCAGAGCGTGGACTCCCTCATACGCGAGAGAGATATCATTACCGTCCACAAGCTGACACACTCGCATCTGGCTCCTGTCAGACTGAAACACAAGGCGCTGTGAGGTGTCAAGCCGCTGTACCCGGGCTACGGAGGCGGGTCACCTGGAGCTGCCCCAGGTGCGCTCTGAGCGGGCCCGGCGGCACTTTTGTTTCCGGGCCGCTATGAGCTGGAACGATGCCTCTGATGCTGTCAGGGAGCCAGTAACTGTCGCCACGTGTCGTGCGAGACTGCGATCAAAGTGAGCTTCTGCACTGTGATGACTGCATTTTAACTCTGTATCAACTTTGTGTATTAATCTGTAGAACGCGTCGCGAGGTACAGTGTTTTATAGTTAGGCTGTGATTCTTGAGCGGTGACAATAATATGTAGGTATGTAGAAACCATGTGATCATAATTTGTATGTAGGTACCAATACCATACATGATGCTTCAATGTATATTGACGCAAGCTTTAAAACCCACCATGTGGAGGCTTAAGATCGTAAATAAATAAATAAATAAAATATCTCACCTCACAGTGATCATTACAACAATAGCACCGACTTGATAGTGGATTTCAAAGTACTTGCATCAGCTCTTCCTGCTATTGCAGACGATCATCTCCTCAGGGTAATGTTGTTCGGGACATGAACGAAGATCGTTTTCGGAGTTTCATAAGTGCTACTGCAACAGCCTGGCACAAAACAGGACTTGTACGCTCTTCTCTGCACTTTGCCCTTCAGTATATCACAAAAGAATTGTTTAGAATCCATCTTACGCTTCTTTCACAGTCTCCCTTGCCACCGTAGGGCGTAGATAGATTGCTGTTGCTGATAAGTTAAGGCACGGTAGATAGAAATTACCTCGGTTCTCAACGCCTTAAGTTATTTTCATAAAAAAGAACAAATAAATGATCAATAAGATGACAGGAATGTAAACATTTTAATCGTAAAGTAGTACAAATATTGGAATGAGCTTTTGCTTTTCAGCATCCTCCGATTCATCATCTTTATCATTTGAAAATTCGAGGTACATAAAATGTTTATCACGCGCTCAATGTTAAGTGGGAATATAGTACACGGCAGACACATCAATTTTTGACACTGAACATTTCATCCGTAAATGTTTTGGCATAATTTAAAGTTAAAAACAGCGCGAATGGCAGAGTGAAGCAAACAACATCTTTCACCCATTGATATAACATGTAATTTGTGGTGCGCCAGATGCGCCATTATTTGTCAACCGCAGAATGTGACATGTGACGTAACAGCATCAAGAGCATCTTTTTTCAAGAACTTTTCAAAACAAGTTTCCTATCTTTCTTCCCCCATTTCTCTCAGCATATTGATTTTATGAGGCAATGGTATGCACCATAAATTCTGTGAAAATAGTTTGATCATTTTCATGCATTCTTAAAAAATCGAGTTCCCAACCCCATTCTTTCCATCAAAGGCGCCGGCGAAAACTTCTGTATTAGCAATCACCGCGAGACTCACAAGCTGAAAATTTCTGAGCCGGCGATCGCAAGAAGATTCACGAATCACAAGTCCACAACTTCTGACGCAATGATCCCAGGGAGCCTAACAATTTTTCGGGTTTGTCCGGGTGATTATGGCTCAGTGACCCTGACTGACACATAGTACGGACCAGCGCACAGTGGGGATTTTTCCGATCTAGCACCTATTTATTCGTAGAGGGCAAACCATAGGTAGAATTGTAGCCAGATTGTGCACAGATGTTGGCTGGTGTGTCCTGGTGAGAATTTTACCTGTAAATGTGCATAATCAACATAGTATAGGGGGTTCAATTGGACCCCCCGCTCAGCCGTTTGGCCCCTGATCAAGCTAGAGCTTCGCGGAAAAGTCAAGCATGCTGCCTATGACGAAATTAGGCCGAATATATCCAATTTCAAAGTCCAAGGTCATAAGCTGACTTTCCAAGTCAGTTTAATGACCCAACTAAAGTTGGGAAATCGAGACCTCTTGAAACTTCGCAAAGTTAGGGTGTTACGGGGTATTTTGGGGTGCTGATCACGAATTTCATGTTAGTTTTGATCACAGACGATGTCTTTATGCATTTAGGCCAGGTCGGGTCAGGTCACGTTAGATCAATTAGTAGGCGTCCTGCCGGCCATCCATAGAAGTGTCACCTACTACTGATAGCTTCGTAACATGGAACGAAGGCACTAGAAATACTTCGTAAATATTCAAATGACTGCTAAATTCGAAATCAGCACCAAAAACTACCCTAGAAACAAGTAAAACTCGAAAAAGTGAACCAAGGTCATCAAAAGGCCAATGACCTTGACTTGACCTTCACGTGACCTTGACTCCCACCATTATGCATGGCACCAACATCATTTCACATATTTGAACGTTTAAAACCACAAAAAGACTGGAAACCGCGGATAATGTGAGCTGGCATACGCCGAATCGCGATTCCGGCCAAACATGGTCTCGAGAAATATGCCACAGGTCAAAGGTCAGTTGGGTCAGAGTCATGAAATTTTTAGATTAGATGTAAAATTGATGATCTCGAGGGTACCGAAAGTTTCGGCGCGATCGGCCGCTTTTTGCGCGAGTAATTTGCGGAATACCATGGGGTTTTATCCGACCCCTTCCCTCTCCCCCTCCCCACAAGTGCGATGGTTAATAAGGTTACGGTATGTATAATTTACGGTTGTCATCCTATTCCTAATGAATGTGTCTCAGAAAATATGCATCATATAAATCACGAAGTAAAATTATTCGCCTATGTCCGGAACATACCTGTATCGTGCTGTTTGCCCTAGCGCTCCTCGAGTGGGGTGTTAAGATACTCTAATGTGAATATTCTGTGTTCAGGCAAGTTTCGGCAGCCAAACTAGGCGTTGTCTTGTGCAGAAGAAAGTGGCGAATTCGATAGGATATATTTCGGAGTGGAAAAGTGTGGAGAACATTGTTGATTTCCTACATTTATTTAGAATACCATTCCTTCAATATGGTGTCTGTAAGGGTTTTTTGTAAAGGGCATTTTTGTGACCTTAGTAAGGTTGTGGCATACTTTCTGTTTGCCATTCCATTCCTAATAAAGGTGCCTTTCAGACGATATGCAACTTGAAGACCTCGCAAGATTAAAACCAACAGGACAGGACAATGAAATTGAGCTATACTTTCGGGCCTTGCTGAGCCCATTGAGTAATCACGCATGAGTGTGAACTTTGGGCGCATTTTTCCTAGTTTTGCTGTGGACATACAGATAAAACAATGCCATATATAAAAAATTCAGACATTTCTTAGCCCTACTGACACAAAAAATAAACAAAAATCCAAAAAATATTTTTTGAATTAATAGGCGCTAGATCGGAAAAATCGCCGCGCTGCAGCGCGGCGATTTTTTATCTGAGCTAGCGTGAGGTACGCTAGTAACTAACGCGTTCCAACGTCGCCACATAACCCTTCTCACCAGTGATGTCCAGTCTCTTCGACGACTGAGGCAGCAGCCGCAGCCACTTGCCGGAGCTGTCCACAGGTGGGCTCACATCGAGCCGCTCCAGAGCCTTCAGCGGCTCCAGCAGCGCCTCCAGCTGCCAGTCGCTGATGCCGGCCGGCAGCGTCAGCTCACGCAGACTGGAGGCGTTGGCACGCGCCAGCCGGCGCAGGGCAGAGACCCGCAGCTTAAAGCCGTGCAGGTTGGCCTTCTCCAGATCGTGGCAGGTGGCCGCTGGAATAAAGCAACACAAGTCAGTGAAGAAGTGATCGCTCATATGGACAAGGAATAACAGTTACAGCGGGACAAAGCGTACCATGTCGTGTGTAGCGCGTTTCACACAGGACTCACCGACCAGTCGGAGGTCGGTGTCCGTCTCAGCGGTCGGCGCCTGCAATTCGGTCATCTTCGGCTGGTCCTGCACCTTCAACACGAGCTCTAGGCTCGTGGCCGGCGCCGGGACCTCTCCACCGCGGGTTTTCTGATCGGTTAGCTGCCGCCGACAGTCGCTGACGATATCGTCGACGGCGGCCCGCCACCGACGGCAGACTGTCGGCACCGAAGGAACAGGGGGATCGGGTGGCATGTCAGCGACAAACATCAAAGTCAAAGTTCAAATACAGGCAGCGTTAGAAATTCTAAAAAATATAACATCGATATTCCATATAATGGCAACCGGAATTCACCTAGCTACAAGCCATTCATTGGAGTTTATATATCCACCCAGACTTTCCCAACTTGCTGAACTCTCAGTTGGCTAAGGAAACATACCACATCGACTCGGATGATAGTTATTGTGACACACGACCTCGCCAGTCGCCAGGACACTCACCCCGCCTGGCTCGGAACATGTCCCTGCAGTCCACCCTGCTCAGCACCATCTTCAGAAGCTCGGTATCAAGGTGGTAGATGTTGGTCTCGCGAGGAGCGGGCGGCCTCAGCTTACCGGACGCCGGCCCAATCTCCTCCGTAGTTGGGGTGACGTCACAACTGGTGGTGGTGGAGTCACACTTGTCACAGGTGTCGGCCTTCGGTGAGACCACCTCTTCGCCGTCACTGTGGTGAAATGACGTCAGAGTGACGTAGTAAGACGTCATCTAAGGTCAGTCATAAGGCGATAATTTCGAGATGTCTTCATTTTACCGAGACAGCACCGTATCATGGACGCCCACGTAAGCCCATCCAGTGTCTTACAGACAAACTGTATACACAACCGGGTTGGTTCTTACAGACAAAATGCCCACACAACCAGGTTGACTCTTACAAACTGTCTACACAACCGGGTTGACTATTACCGACAAACTGTCTACACCAAGTGTCATCCCTTGCAGCCAAAGGCGGCTGCCTCTAATGTTTACTCTTATCTTTGCCCCCCCCCCCCAGTGCCACCCCTCCTGCCTCTCAGTCTCACCTCTGGGGACGGCCGGATGGCGCCGCTCGCCGGCGGACCTCCTGCCGCAGCTCCTCCACGACGACCTGGCGAGTGGTGCGCTCCTCGAGGACAGCCTGTCGCAGGCGGACTACCTCTTCACGTAGATGGACCACCTCCTGACGCAGTGTGGCGTTGTCTCCCTTCAGTGCGGCGTTGTCTCCCTTCAGTGTGGTCACTTCTCCCTTCAGTGTGGCGTTGTCTCCCTTCAGTACGGCGTTGTCTCCCTTCAGTGTGGCCACTTCTCCCTTCAAACCAGCCATCTCTTCACGAAGAGCAGCCAGCTCTCCGCACAGATCTTCTAAGTCCATCTGGAACACAAATGATAAGTAGGTACAGTCCACAGCAGAAGTAATGTGGGGTTTCAGTCATGGGTATGTTCTGCTTCTGAAGCTTAGGAACGATTTACCAGACTACAATAAAACTGTGAATGTAGCTTATATGTATTGTCACCCTTGCAGCTGCAACTTTAGCTACTGACATCTTCTTTTCGATCACTCCGCATTAACCCGGCAGTTGCTGGGTTATTTCACTACCCACCGTTTGCTGGGGGGGGGGGGGCGTTAAACGCCCCCAGCCGATAACTCGCGAACCAATAGGCGCAGCGAAACGCACGAGGCGGCAAACAAAAGAACGCGACGAGAAGCTTCAGATGAGTACTTTAAAGTTGAATTTTGAGGTCACAGGTCGGGTCAAGGTCAGGTCAAACACCTGAAATCGGGCTTTCAGTAGCATGGACTTCAGGACTTCGCAATGGGCGCCTCTCGTCATCAGCTCTGTCAAAACGGTGCACAATCCATCATATAAGGCCTACAAGAGTGTCTGCTCCATGTAGGGGTCAGTCAAGCATAGGTCAGGCCTAGGGTCAAGGTCAGGTCAACCGGGTAGGCAAATATCCCCGAAAATCAAAACTGATATTCGCAGCCTGTGACACATGTTTTAACCCGCGCCCTGCTGGGGGTCCTGGATTTCCACGCCCTGCTGGGGGGGGGGGGTGTTTGAACACCCCCCTTGTAACTCGGCTCCTGGGCCACGTAGCGATACGCGGAAGGCGGCGTTCGAAAGAGCGTAAAAAATAATGACGAAATCACTTCGGTCAATTTTTTGGTCAGGTCAAAGGTCAGGTCACCAGAGGTCTTTGAAGGCAAAATTTCGCCGATTTCCAGGTCGAATGTCGAAAATTTCCAAGAAGCCAACGCATAACTCGGGAACCAATAGAGCTACAGCGCCGCGGAAAAGCGCAATCGATAGCCCTATTAACGCCCTTTCTGAGCAATTCTCTCAGATTTGACCTAACGTCAACGGTTTTGCCTGCAGGGGGCAAAAACTGCAAAAATAGCCGATTTTTTCGAAAACAGTTTTTCTGCAATAACTTTTGACCCAAGCCTTGTACGAGCTTACTTTTACCGGCATCGTGTTCCTCTCGTCAAGACGCATCGAATGAACTATAATTTGACCTTGAAAGGTCAACTTGAAAATTTGACCTCAGGTCAAGGTCATGACCTGACCGGAAAGGGTATGTTGCATATCAGTCGATCCGTATCGTCGAGCTGAACACATCTAAGGCGTTTTCATCGCTCTAGTATGTCTCTATCAAAAGTTATTTGCGAAAAACCATTCGTGACCTAAGATGACCTCAGGGCATAAACAAGGGTCACGGACACCATTTTCAAGCTCAGTGTGTCTAAATCACTTGTAATTCGGTGTTTGGGAGCGTTTATAATGTCTTTCATCCAAAAGAGGCGCATTTCAATTTTCTCCCATTGACTTATAATGGGGAGGTCGCAAAATTGACCTGACCTTAGGTCATCGATATCAAAATTCTGAGATATACATTTTGTACATGCTATTGCTCTTAGCAATCGCTGAAAGTTTCAAAGCGATCGGTCTCTCGGTGTAGCTATGACAGACATTGAAAGTTTTTATGAGGTGAGGTCACTTCAAGTGACCTGGTGACCTGACCTTGAACGACCTTGGTCTGAAATTTTCACAACATGTGTAGAATTGATGTATGATAAGGTGTACAAAAAACGGCGGCGCTCCGCGCCGCCGTTTTTGAGATATTCGCGAAAAACCACAAGGGGGGGTGTTCAAACACCCCCCCAGCAGGGCGCGGGTTAAAGGACAGGCGCAGGTTCGAGTCAAACATCGGTTCCGTGTTTCCATCCTCAAGACAGTCAAATCCAAGATACCTAAAAGAAACAGGTAGGTCGGGTGTTTTGAGTAAAGCCCTGGTGACGTCACGGACATTTCTTATATGGAGAATTTCGCCTTTAAGGAAAATATTCTACAAACGAAAATTTGTATTTTATAAGCAAAAAATACAGTCTTTCAATTTCAATATGAAACTTATATAACTTAATTACAAAACTTAAAATCCTTTGAGTGTTTGTCCCAACCCCCTGCTATACCCTTGGTCACGTGACTAAAATGATAAACTGCGTTTTACAATGTTATGACTTAACCCGGCGGCCGCTGGGCCTCCGCGCCACCCGCCGGCCGCTGGGGGGGGGGGGGCATAAAGTTGCCCCCCCTTTACTTCTGCGACGATATCGTCGCAACGCGAAGAGATAGAGAAGCGAAACTTTGCACACATCTTCCTGAATACCTAGCCGAGGTTGTGTCCAAATTTGGTGTCGATCCCATTTGAAATGACGTCACAGTGACGTCATAAGTGAAATTATAGATTTGCGACTCTCATATTCCTCACGATACATCACATATATGGGACCGAATATAAACGGCCGATTATTGGTCAGAAACTAGATGGAAGTGTAGTAAGATGTTTTAGGATGACAGCAGGTGCTGTCCAGTTCATTTACAGTCGAGTTTCATGCTCAGCGTCATCAGAAACGGTCCATGTCGGAAAACGACAAAACTTCATGACGTCACTGTGACGTCATCTTAGGTGCTACAACCACCAAACTTTCCTCAAACATTGCCTAGGTATTCATTTGAAGCTATGCCAAGTTTCGCGTTCATAGCTCATCAGGTTTCGGAGATATTTCACAAAACGTAAAGGGGGGCAACTTTATGCCCCCCCCCCCAGCGGCTCGTGGGTTAAACAAGAGTAATAAATATTAAAAGTGTACTATTTATGATGTTTTAGGCAGAAATCGTGTAAATATATCCTTAAATTATATATAATCTGTTGAAAAGAAATCACGTGATGTTACCAGATTGTGCTCGGACAGCATCTTCTTGAACTTCGATTTCGAGTACTTTGTACCTCCATAGAGGCCTAATAACGGACGTTTTCAGTTATAAAATGAAGCGCTGAATCTAATAAGGGCAAAATGTAATCATTTGTTGCCCTTCAGGCTTGGCTATCCAGGCATGAACTTTGGCCAGTTTGTGTGCAAAGCCTATGGTAAAGGGAAAACTTCACGCCCAGCTGACGTCACAGACCTCGGCTACCAAATCGTGTCCGGTGGGGGTCGGTCAAATCCTTCTCCTTCACGCCGCAACCCCCTGCTCCGGGCTGGACGGCCAACTCTATCCCCTGCGGGAATGGCTCCACTGGAGCTAGCCTGCAGCCGGGTGCAGTGAGTGCCAGTGCACAGTGGGGATTTTTCCGATTTAGCACGTCTTTATTCGTAGAGGGCAAAGCATGGGCAGTATTGTAGCCAGATTGTGCACAGATGTTGGCTGGTGTGTTCTGGTGAGAATGTTACCTGTAAATGTGCATAATCAACATAGTATATGGGGTTCAATTGGACCCCCCGCTCAGCCGTTTGGCCCCTGATCGAGCTAGAGCTTCGCGAAAAAATCAAGCGTGCTGCCTATGACGAGATGAGGCCGAATATATCCAATCTCAAAGTCCAAAGTCATTAGTTGACTTTCCAAGTCAGTTTAATGACCCAACTAAAGTTGGGAAATGAAGACCTCTTGAAACTTCGTAATGTTAGGGTGTTACTGGGTATTTTGGGGTGCTGATCACGAATTTCATGTTAGTTTTGATCACAGACGATGTCTTTATGCATTTAGGCCAGGTCGGGTCAGGTCAGGTCAGATCAACCAGTAGGCGTCCCGCCGGCCATTTAGGTATAGTAGGTGTCACCTACTACTGACAGCTTCGTAACATGGTACGAAGGCACCACAACTACTTCGTAAATATTAA